CTGCTGTGAGTTCGAGCCGACTCAACGGCACCTGACAAACAAAAACACTCCCCTTGTGGAGCTGAGGAAGTTGAGGTGCAGACAAGTTCAAAGCTGTGTTCAAAGTCACTGAGAGAGTGAGTGGACCTGAGGTTAGGCCACCTCCTAGCACTTCTGACAGTGTCCAGACACCAGCCTGAGAGCTTTCACCACCAAGGATCATGAAGAACTTCAGTCATGGGATATATTACAAAGCTCATCTCCCCTACTGTATATTCTCAGAGACACCAAGTCCTCCCAGATCACCTCTCTCATCCTAGTAACATAACTCAGGTCTCACAGCCTCCTGAGACCCCACAATGCCTCTTGGAGGCCCACTGTGGTCCTGGTCACCACAGAGCCTTGAGCTTCTGCTTAATCATAACCTCTTATAGAAGTCATTCCTGGGGTCACAATATGACCTTCTGAACCTGCGCAGAGACTCCTGAACTTCTTCTTCTTGATCCTTTCCCCCTTCTCTCAGCAGAGATTATTTCTTCAGGTCGCTGGATCTTTTCAGGACCCCTCAGCCGCCCAGTCCTTGTCCTCACACTATCAGGGGACCAGCTCTCATAGGAGCAACGTGAGCCAGAGGAGATGGCTGGCCAAGTGCTCTGTAACAAGCACTGGCATACATGCTCCTATTTCACCTCTTAAAACTCTTCTACTTTCCTTACAAAAGTGAAACATTAGATTTTTTCCTGATATTTTGCCATTGTAAAAAATTTGACAAATACAAGAAAAACTCCCACTTCAATAATAATCCTACAACCCAGAGATAAATAAAAATAAATATTTTCTTACATAGATATATGTTCATCTCTATAATTCATTTTGTTTCCCTTTATTTTTTTTTAAAAAAACCCCTAAACTTGTAAATTTGTAGGTAGATATTCTTCTTGTCATCTTGGTGCCAGTGTTTCTCTAAAGCAGCATTCTAAACCAGCATAAAAGAACACCCACCTACCACCTCTTGCTGAGTTCTCTGAGGGGTAGAGGTTTGCTTGAGGTCCATTTTAGTCAGTTAATTAAGTAACTATTTCAAATGCTGCCTCGGGCCACTTCCTTCTCTTCCCTGGGAAAGCAGAGTGGGCTGCAGGGCTCTGGTTCTACCTCTCCAGGCTCCCAGGATAGAAAGACAACAACTGCAGGTAGCAAGCCCATCCTCGCTCCACTTCCCCTTCTGTTTCCCTGGCTGGCTGTTTCTTGAAGGCCCGGCTCAGAACCACCACCCTGCCTGCATTCTGGGGCCAGAGGCCTTGGCACATGGCAACAGAAGAGAGCCTTTAAGGTAGCTCAGGGGGATGAGAAATGACCAGCACCTTTTGAGGTTTAGCTGTGTGGCCCCAGCTACAGTCTGCATCTGCCCCTTTCCAGCTCGGCAGGTCCCGTGTCAACACTAGGACAACTAAAAAAGAACCAGAAAAACAGAAGAGGAAGGTTCCCTTTTTTTCTGACACTTTTACTTCTCAGTTCTAGACGATCAGCCTCTTTGCCTGATTGCCCCCAGAGAGAACAATGCAGTGTGTCTGCTGGGCTCAGGGAGGTCCAGTGTGGGTATTCTTTTAAGACTGGCTACTCCTGGAAGAACTGAGCATGGTCTGATCCTTCACTGCCACCCCAGGACTGGCCACTGGGATGAGATGTCTGTCCCTGCAAGTAAATTTACAAGCTAAGGCCAAAGGATTCTAGCCTGGAAAATGGACACTCTGGTGATAAATCTAGTGATTTAAACTGTGCCCTCAAACCAATGGTGGTTTGGGTGGCAGGATGGGAGGACACTGACTGTGGGACTTCCTGTCCTTCATCTTGCTTTCTGGTTTTGTTCTTCCTAGTTTGGGCCAAGCTTGTCACCAGGGCTGGAGAGCCTGTAGGTGATTCACTTGAAACAGAGTACTGGTCTCTACCTCTGCTGGGCCTCTGGTGGAATGGAAAAGCCAACAAATGGTCTCTTCTCTCAATTCTAATCCTTCTTGGTGAGGATCAGGCATTTCCTGCACCCTTAGCCCTGGGTTCAAGGCCTCAGTTAACTCACATAGGTAAAATGATGCAGAGAAAAATGCCTGGGAAAGAATCTGCTAGGCACAGCTGGTGAGAACTTCAAGTTTAAGGAGAACCTACTTTGCCTATTAGTATTTTGGAGGTTCTTTTTCTCCATGAAGTAATGCAGGGTGACAGTCTTCCAGAGAACTGACAATCTATTCCCCTTTATCAGTGGGAGCAATCTGAATTGAAGGAAAGTGAGGATGCAGAGGGAGAACTCAGGAAAGCCAAACACTGGGGGGTGGGGGGGAGAAACAAAAGGAGTCCCAGGTGGCAATACGAAGGTCACCAAACCATGAGTATAAACAATTTCTAACAAAGATTTTTCAAGGGCTTTCACCACCAAATGTGAGAGGTAAATCCTCTCCTCCAAAACTCCTATGCAGCATCCAGCAAAGTATGGAATGCTCACATGCTTCTGAGGGAGTCAGAGGATTTTTCTGGTGAACATGAAAAGGGGCTAGCTGAGGATAAAAATGGAGACTCATCAAGGGATCACAGAATTGGAGGTCAAAAAGACAGTGGGCATTTGAAATGTCAGGACTACCTTGAATCTGGGAAGGAGAAGGGATGGTAGACTAAATGACATTTTCCAAAGCCTCTTGCTCCCCTCAGCAAGGTGGGGGAGGTTTGGGTCAGGAACTAGGCCTTAAGATAATGAAAAATAGGCCATTTATCCCTGCAGGGCTGCCCCAAAGGCTGTTGGGGGGCGGGGCGGGGCATACGGCTACCATGAGACCAAGGACTGGAGGAGGTTCTACCCAAAAGGCGCCTTGTATAGATGGATGTAAATGCTATGTTCTAAATAAAACAGAGAAAAAGAGAAATGTTATAGCTCACAGTGTTCAAGAATGACTTAAGTATAGCATTATCTTCATGGAGCAAAGAATTTTCTCTCACCACTCTCCCTGTACCTCTATTTCCATCCAGCCTTGGGTCTGTACCAGGAACTGTATCTGTTAAATTCCCAGTAACTAGCATGATGTCTGGCAGGGACCAGTTGCTTAATAAACAGCTACTGAATGAATGAATGAATGAATGAACAAATGAACAAACATATGGATGAACAAACAGAACCAGTTCTAGCTGATATTCAGGATCCTGTCTGTAAGCTCTCTTTTCCCAGGGACCCCCTTGAATGCTGAGAAATGGCAATGTTCTAGTCAGTGGTTCTAGAATCTGCTGGGGATGGGTGTCTGGTCCTCATCCCTACAGCTGGAATACTCCTAGAGTGAGAGAAGCTGGGCCTATATGTCTGAGTTCTAAAAATGGGGACAGAGCTATTGTCCCTCCAGGAGTCCTGAACTGATGCCTTATGGAAAGAGCCTCTGAGGGCTCACAGCACCCTTCCAATCGCTCCACCTTAGGATCCAGAGACAGACTACCTGACCAGCTTCCCTTGAAACAGTGGCGGGTCTGACCTGGACCGGTCTTGTAGCCTCGAGAACCTGCTCTGTGTAAGAAGCTGTGGAGAACAGTGATGAAGAGGTAGGTTTGGCTGCCAAGAAGACAGATCCAGGTCAGCTCTGCCACTTACTAGGTAAGTATGAAGCAGGACAAGTCACAACACCCCTCTGAGCCTGGCTTTTCCTGCATATCTAGCAAGGGAAGATGAGTGGCTACTGTGTAGACTTGGTTTAAACAAAGCACTTAAGACAGGGTCTGGCACATAGCCAATGCTTAACAACTACTGATAATGAATAGTTATTATCATAATAGGTCCTGTTGCCCTGTGAGGATGTGCTAGGAAGAACGGAAATATCCTCTGGTCATTTATTTTATGATTGTGGGGGCTGACAGGACCCAAGGCTTAAGCATCAGTGTGTATGTGAGTGTGTATGTGTGAGTATACCCACATATATGTTACGTGCTTGAGAGCATGTATATAAATGTGTACAAACTTATGTGTACAAATGTGCAATGTGCATGTCTAAGAGTATATTCACAAGGGAGAACATGTGGAAGAGTGGACACACATGTGTGAGTGTGCAAGTATGAGAGAATATATGCACTCACATGTCTGCTGGGAATGTGCAAATGCCTGTAGGAGTGTGTAAGAGTATGGGAGTGTGCTGTGAGAGCACGTACACATGTGCTTGCTGGTGTGCAGTGGGCCTGGGTACTAGTGACGGGGCCGCTCTCCAGACAGTGCAAGCCTGCCTCCCACTGACACTCCACGTGACTGCATTTCTCCCTCTCTCCCCTAAGACCACCAGTCCCCAAACTTCACCTTCACCTTGGCATTGCCACAGCTGTGGGAGTATCCTGTTCATGGTGTCTCCTAGCTTTCCAGAGAACATCTGGTTGGTGCCTCACATAGACAAAAATAACCAGTAGCTGCCTGGGCAATGGGTGAACTCCTGAGCCTGGGGCAGGCAGGCTCCACAGGGAGCCAGACCCTGGGCAACAGAGCCACAAGGGCACATGACTGATGCTCTGCCACCTGTGATGGTAGAGTGAGCACTCAATGCACGTTGGGCCATAGCACAGGCCTGGGGTCATGTGCATACAACACTTTCAAACCCCACCAGGTGGAGCCACATGCCCATCTCAAGACTAGGTTGCGGTTCAGGCTTCTGGTCTTAAGAATCCATATTTGAGACCAAATCGCTTCCAAAGTCTTCTCCTGCTGCTTGGCCCAAGGAAGAGGTCACTGGCTTCAGGCTCCAGGGCTGGCTCTGGGCTGAGATGAGGAGTGGGTGGCTAAGAGCATGGGGCCCATCTTGTGCTTCCTTCTCTTCTCTCTTTCCCCTCCTTGGCCTCATGCCTGCTGAGATGAGAGGCCCCAGAGCAGCCCTCATCTGTGTGGCTGGGACAGGGAGGCAGGGAGGCAGGGTGGGGGATGGGGGTGGGGTCTGGCTCTGGCTGGAGGCTGCTTTCAGCTCCCTTGGGCCTGAGAACTTCCCCTGGGAGGGAGGCTGAGCTGAGGCCACACTCACCTTTCCAGCCCTGAAGACACTTCTTCACTAAACTCTGAGCTCTCACTACTGCCTGGAAAAGGAACACAGATCAATGAACATGGTGGCCTCTCAGAAGAGGGGCTGACCCTGCAGGGGCCCATGTGCCCAGGTCCCCAGACCCAGGCCTAGGCCCCTGCACGCACAGAAGTGCTGGGGGAATCACTTCCTGTCTCTGTGGGTATTAACATGACCAATTTCGCTGCTGCTGTTTCTGATTCTCTACTCTTGGAAGGTTAACAGCACCACCCCATCTCACAGAACTGCTCCCACAGTCCTCTACTCTCTTCCCATTATCCCTGAGAGGCATTAGCTGCCTGGCCACTGGCCTAGTGTAGTCTGGGTCCTCTATCTTGCCCTGGCCAGGGCACATCACTGCCTCCCTGTGGCCTAAGAGAAGCCCGCGGTGGAACAGGGCCTGCTGGTAAAGACCGAGGCAAAAATGAGCATATCTCTCCTCCAGGCCAGAGGCTTGACTAGATACTGGTCACAGTGTGGTTGCCTCATTTCAGATAGTAATCTCAACAAGATTCAGATCCAGTGTAGACAAGAGAGAGGGGCTCAGCTCCAGTGCTCTGCTCCTCCCTCAGGCTTGTCCAATGGCAGCTGACTGAGACATGAGGCACCTCACGGCACTCCAAGGCCAAGGGCAGCACAGGGATTTTCTCCTGTCACTTCAAGCAGGCAACTAGTGAAGCCGCTTTAGTCTTACTCGGACCCTGGGGATCCTTGATCCAGTGCTCTTTGCCTGGGCTATCATCTGCTTGCACCTCAGCTGAGTGGTGGAAAGGGAAAAAGTAAAGGCCTCATGCCCCTTGGAATCAGTTGGAGCAATGGCTTTCATCACAGGATGGGGAGGGGGGATAGAACTCCCCCATTCCAAAAAGGGCACATAGGCTCACAGCAACTTACTGCAGTGCCTTCAACTCCCGACAGAGTATTGTTTCCTGACTTGAGGAGTTGAGAACCAAACCATCTTGTGATCTGCTGCTTGGCTTACTGGACAGTATCCTCAGTTTTCTATCTTAGGAATAGCAAAGCCTGGACTCGGGCACAGCTCAGAAAGTTTCCTGGATATAAGACGCTGCTCTGCTTCCCAGCATTCAGCCAGCATCTTCCAGAGTGGACTTGACAGAACCCCGGTCCCACAGGGCACTCCCAGGAAAAGGGAACACCAGCGAATAGTGTGGGAACACAGCAGACTTTAATGCTTTCTGGGAGGAGCCACATGGCACATCAGTGTATTAAGCTCTCTAAGAAGCCTGCTTATCTTTGATTAACCCAGCCTTTCCCAGCCCCAGATCTCTTTGGCCAGGTCACACCTATGAACCTCGGGATGTGTCTTAAACTGAAGCACGTTCTTGACTTGGTTCAAACAAGATAACCTTGTACAGGGACAAAAACGTGCTTGCTACAGACTTTCAGGCTGGGAGGCAGCTGGCCCTTGAGTGACATTGCCCAGGTGGTTTAACTCGACAGGGTCATGGCACATGAGCTGGCCACTGCTCTGTGCTTAGACGTCCCCTCCCTACAGTCCTCACCAGATCAAATTCCCAGCTTGACAAATGTCTACCCACTGTCAGCCCCAGGAGGCACTGTTAAGCAAGACATACAGACACATAGACACAGACTGCAGAAGCACAACCACGCAGAAAGGGAACGCAATTAGAGGATGTACTTGTGTCAGCACAGAACAATGGGGCGAGTCCACTTGCCCTGAGCTCACCTGGGTGCTGTGGAGTCTGCCTGTGGCCAGAAGTCAACGCCAGCCTTCACCTCCCATCATCCCCTCCTAGCCTCGCCAAACTGCACAGCTTCTGTCTATTCCACTGACACGAACACCTTTTCTGGCTGAAGCTCAGAAATGCACACTCACGCAGAAGACTAATTTTTTTATTTTCCCTAATTCTAGTTTCTCAGTGTAACAGCAAACACAGAAACACATCCTGGTGGCATCTTAGCCCACTCAAATGCTGTCCTGGGGCAGCTTCACCTGATTTGCCTGCAGGACCGTGAGGCTCATGGACCCCCAAGGTCAGCAGTGGCCCTCACCTCCCAGTAGCACCCAGGCTTTAGGAGTGGTCAATTCCTGACAGCTGGTATCTGTCATGTCTCTCATTGCTCCTTCTAGCAGCCTCTATACTTAGGGGTTACAAACGGGCAAAACCCAGACTCTCTAGAAGCCCCAAAGCTGACCAGGAGCGGCTGCTCTGACTCTGGACTTATTCTGAGAAAATCTTTTCTGTAGGGAATGAGAAGCATTGAGTGTCCCACGGGGAGGACAGTGCCACTCGGCATTGCACAGTGACACAGAGACAGACACGGAGCACACGCAGGGCTCGTGGGCCCTCCTGCTTGTCATGTGCAGGCCAGAGACGCTTACCTAGGGAGAGTCCATTGGTGACGGCAGAGGAGGTGTGAGCAAGGCCCCTGCGGGGGCTGCGGGACTCTAGGACGCTGTCGTCCAGTAGGTGCCTCGCTTTCTCCGATGGGAATGTCGCACTTTTACTCTCTACTACACTCAACTGACACATCATACTGGAAAACGGAAAGGAAGAGAGAAGGCAAAGCTCCTTATCTAGGGAGTAACAGTGATTCCGCCTGCCCTGGGATGCTGAGCAGAGGAGGAGCTGCAGGAAAAAGGCCTCCACCCAGAACCACAGTGCAGTTCTGATTCGGCTACTACAGTGAGACCTTGGGCAAGTCACATTCTCTTCCTGAGCCTCAGTTTCTCCACCTCTCGGATAGGGATAATGGTACTTGCCCTACAATCTCCTAGCACAGTTATAGTGGGATTGAACTTGTGGTCGATGGAGCCTGCTGTGGGCGTGAAGGACAGCACAACCCTGGGGCCAGGTGGCCTGGTTCTGGAGTCAAACACACCTGGTCCAAATCCTTGCTCCAGCGCTTACTCACCATCGTAAGGAATTTCACCTTGCTGACCCTCTTAGATTCATCCTTAGGATGTATATAATAGTAACACCTACCTGAGAGGCCTACCCAGGGACTCAAGGAGCTATCACTTGACAGGATATGATGCTGGGAGGGGTGGAAGGTTGACAAAGGAAAGGAGATCCACCAGGTAGATTGGCATGGTGACTGCTGCAATGGGCTGTTGTGTGTCAGGAAGTGTGAGGATGGCGCAGGATAGTCTAGATCTTTTGTTGATAGGGTCGCTATGAATTGTGCTTGACTCAACAGCACCTAACAACAACAGCTACCACCTGAGAGACATACCCAGGGACTCAAGGACCTATTGCTTGACAGGTCAGTAATAAAGCACCTAGCACAGAGGAAGTGCTTAATACTGCTAGAGCAACTACCGCTCTCCTCTGGCCTGTGAATACCCCCAGGGCCAGCTGCTCTGGGCCAAGTCTTGTGTCAGGGTAGAAAGAAGGAAGGAAGGGAGAAGGGAGGGAGAGAGAACTAGATCTGTTCAGAAGCCTGTGCCAGTGGAGCCAAGGACCCACACATGTCCACCAGCTGCCAACCCCACAGAGAGGTGGGCCAGCAGGTTCACTGTTCTGCAGGCCTTCTGCAGTAACTGGCAAGCAAAGAGACATTGGGCCCTTAAGACACGAGACACCTAATGCTTCCCTGATCACTGGTCACTTCAGGTCCACTGGACTCTGAGGTTCTCTGTAAGCAAGACACTAAATGTTGGCAAACTTTCTAGAACCACACAGTTGTTGCCTGTCCTGGTCATTCTTCCTCTGTTGCCTACTGATATATATTAATAGTATGCAGTATGATGGCTACTGCTGCCTTTAGCTCTCCTTTGAGCCTGTGCCAACCCTGATAGTGAGTACAAGTCAAGGATTCCAGTGCCCACATCAACAATCCCCAACCTGGTATGAGAAAAGGGACCTAGTGGAAAGTATTTCCCAGCATTCCATTACGCCATATCTCTCAGCTCAATCTGATCAAAAGGTCTTCAAGAAGACCTGCTTAGTCACCTACTTGTTGCCTAGGCTGTGGCTCTTCCTGTGTCTTGGGACTGGGGGCGTGGGGAGGCTGCCAGCAACAGATGCATCAGGACAGGTAGGCCTCCGGCTGAACCTCACAGAACTGGAGCCAGCAGAGGGGCCTGTGAACGAAGCAGAGACAAAGAGCAATGATAGGAACAATGATGGCAGGTAGCCTTGTGGGGGCTGTTTTAGGGCTGTTTAATGTTGGTAGGCCCTAGGCTTCCGGTGAGTGCCTATCATGGCTATTACAGGTTTATATGTACTATGGCCTCATTCTCATTAGAAACCAGCTTCTCCCATCAAAGTAACTTCCAGAGCTGATAACTGTCCAAATGGCCCTGTGGCCTACTGCACATAGTACCTATTAACTAGGCAGCCCCAATGTCTAATCCAGAGCTCCAGAGAGAGTGCCATGAGCAGATGTGGAACTTGGCTCCATCCTCCCAGGCCATGAATTACTTAAGGACATCAAGCTATTAAGTGATAGCATTTAGACTTAAAAATACTCTAGGAGTGGTGCCCTTACCATGGTGCCTGTACACACTCTCTTCTCTCGACTCTCATTCGACAGAAACAGAATTTACTGGAAAAAAATGTTTCATTTACTCAGTGAAAGGAGTTAGACAAGTAGGGATTTAGATTCGTTGGAGAGAGAAACTGACTGTTTCCCTGAACCTCAGTTTCAAAATCTGAAAACTGGGAACAATTAACTTCATCTTGCAGGTTGTTGGGAGTAATCAGTAAAGTAATGTATGTAGAAAATACCTATACTTATTTTATGGTCATGACTATTATTATACTCCCTTAGCTCCAGCCAAAGTGTCAACAGGAGGTCATTAGAGCCAAAGTGTTTGGAAGCCACTAATTCTACTGAGTGTGCACTGGGTGGCCTAGTGGTGAGACGCTGCACTGGAATCCCAAAGGCATGCAGTTTAAATCCATGAGCTGCTCCTTGCGAGAAGGATGGGCAGTCTCCTCCAATGCAATTAACTACTTCTGGAAATTGAGGGCTTCTACCAACTTTTGCAGTCAGAAATTGACCAAGCTCGGCGCTGGCTGAAAATCACCTGTGACTTCATCCATAGCCACTGGTGAGAGTCAGCGCCCAGAGCCATCAGGGGCTTTAAGCTCGTTGCCCACTGCTGTGGTGTGGACAGCTGAAACCCAGGCCCCGACAGGCACCTGGGAGG